TACTATTCAACATAGCCAAAACATGCAAATAATCCAAGAACCTGATAACAGATGATTTTCAATAAAGTAGACATGGTATGTGCACACAATGGAATACTACTTAGCTGGAAAAAATTGCCATTTCAGACTCATGGATGGACCTAGAGGATATTTTGCTAATTGAAATAAGATATAGAAAAAGAAAGAACAATATTGCATGGCTTCACTCATGTGTGGAAATAAAGAAAGCAAACAAACAATCAAAATAACAGACTTCACATTATGCAAACAAAATGATAGGAGAGGGGAGTGGCTAAGTTGGATAAAGGGAAATCAGTTGTATGGTGGTTGGAAACTAGAATTTCAGGAGGGATCATAAAATAGTGTGAAATTGGGGCCCTCCCTGGTGGCGCAGCGGGTTAAAGCACAGCACAAAGAAGCTTAAGCCACTTCCACAGGAGTTCGATCCCCACCTGCCCCGGAGGAGATCCACATGGCGTGGCAGACCTCTCCTGACCCGCCCGCTGCTCCCCTCAGCAGTGTACTTCGTCGATCTGCCTATTCTGCTCCCCACTCTGTCTCTGGTGAAGCCTCTCACCCTCCACATCTCTGGCCTGTACCCCATTCTGTATAAATAAATAAATCTTTGAAAAAAAATAGTGTGAAATTGAATTATACAGATACTGAATTATGATGCTGTATACCTGAAACCCTTATAATAATTTAAGCCAGTCTTTAAAAAATAAAGACTTTCCTTGTGCTGAAACAAGTAGTGTCATTTTAATTTGAAGTATCTAATATATAATCGTGATAATAGTGTTGCATTCACCCATTGCCATTTTAAACTAATTTTATACATTATTGAAGTAATTGCAGAAACATTTTAATGTGATGGATTTGTTAAAAGATTTTATAATATTAATCCCTTTATGCATTTTGGTTAAAGTTTGGTAATTTTCTAATCTAGTTCAGGGCTTAAAAATGAGGTTTTATAAATTTATTTTGTATTAATTAGTTTATTTTTTAATTGCAATAAAGTAGGATTCTCTCCATCAGCTATGCCACTGTAAGGTACTTACCACCTACTTTGGATTTTTTTGCTCCTTAAATTTAAGTGGGTAGAATGTTACTTTTTCATTATTTGTTGGTTCTAGGTCATCTTTTCTTTTTCTCTCCTTGTTTTGTAGATAACCTTACCTGTCTCCATGGCTTTAGATTTCTTGTATATGCAAATATCCTCCAAGTTATACCCCCAGCCAGTATCTCTTACATGCCTAAGTACCTGCTTGCCTGGTCACCTTTCGGGAGTTCAAACACTTCCCCATATTAACTCATCATGCAGCTTCCTGAAGTCATAAATGGAGAATCATCCTTGATTTTACCCTTTTTTGTGTCTCTAGGATCCAGTCCCCCACTGGAGCTTCATGATTTCACCTCCAAATATGGCTCTTTCCTGCTCTCTTCGCAGTGCAGGCCACCCCCCCCCTCGCCCTATGGCCTCCCCCCATCTGTTCTTGTCTACCTCCAACCAGTTCTCCTCATGGAATTCACTCAACCTCACTGAACTATTCCACTCCACTTGTTAAAGTACTTTAATGCCTATTCACAAAACACCAGCACTGACTTTCCATTCTTTTCTTTTTTTAAAATTTTTTATTTATGCATACAAGAGCTGGGATACAGGTCAGAGGTACAAGGGTTGAGAGGATTCACCAGAGACAGAGTGGGGAGCAGAACAGGCCGACTGACCAAAATATACCGCTGAGGGGAGCAGCAAGTGAGACAGGAGAGGTCTGCTACACCATGTGGGTCAGCTCCCTGGCCGGGGATCAAACTAATGCTGCAGTGGCTGGGGATAGCTTCGTAGCGCTGCCCTTTAACCCCTTTCACCACCAGGAAGGACCCTGACTCTCCAGTCTTGAATGCACAAAGCTTTTGTTCCCACTGTTGTGCCTTGGCAGATGCTGCTCCATCTCTCTAGAAGGCTCTTTTGTCAATTCTCAGCCATCTGGTTTTAGCTTAAATGTCTCTTTTTCAAGGGTCTTTCCTTGACCAACCCATTTAAGAAGTGACCTGCCCTCCTTACATCATTCTTCATTTCAGATCACTGTGTCTTTTGGGCACCTGTCAGTTTGCGATGATTTCATTTCCTCTCCATTTGCTTTTGGATTGTCTCTCCATACTGGTGTGCAGTTTCCCTGATGGGAAGGCAATTCCATCCATCTTGTTCATGGCAATTTCTTCAGCACTTAGCTCATCCCTGCCTCAGTAACCAATACATGAAGAAAACAAGGAGACAAGGAAGGAAGTAGGAAGAAAGGCCCCCAGGCATGAGTAAATCTGGGCTTGTTTCTTAGAGACAGATGCCAGCTGAAGTGTTAGAAACAGTGGGAGGATGTCCGTGGCAGGTGAGAACCCAAGTACACAAACTGACGATGTGGGATGGCTGGAAGGTGGCACACGACAACTGTGACCACCTAATAGTTTGATTTGTGGAGAATTGGTATTGTTAGATTCGAAAAGTGGGAAAAGTTGAGGCCTAGAACAACTCGATGACTTAATCTTGGCCTATCCAATAGTGGAAGCAAGAAACCAGCAGAGTATGGAATCAGGCATCCGCCCCTCTGACAGTGTGCCTGTGGTAGTCCTCTGCCTCATGAGAGCTCCAAATAGCAACATTGTTTTATAACTGCCAGTTGTGACACTGGAGATATTTTGCTTGAAACCTTTTGAAGGTAGTGAACTCTGTATCCAAGAAGAAACAATGACAGATAAGGTGTTCTCTGGACAGAGGTCCTGAAAACACAATACCCTTATCTAAAAGATAGGGTACAGACAGGCTAGCTCAAATCTATATTGGTCCTAGGTGTTTGGTCAGAGAGAAAAAGACCGAGGCATCTATGGTTTGAAAGAGCCAAGTTCATGCTATCCACCTGAAATAGTGAGATGAAAGTTGGGAGGAAGGGAGGAAGATGGGGGAAGTGGCAAATGAGGGAACAGAAAAGAAACTACTACTGGTAAATGAGACTCATTTCCCAAGACCCTGACTCACTGAAGCAATTACCCATGTTCAACCAGAGAAGCTATCTTGGGACTGCTTCCCTGAGGCTCCCCCAAACTGATAAATAGGCCTGACTCAGCTACTTCCTTCTCAAACCTGGGGCTCAGGCATCACTCCTGGGGGCACCCACCGCATAAGATTCTGTCATCTCTGTGATAGTCACCAATGAGCCAGGTAGAAGTTCCCCTGCTTTTCACTATCAGGTCACCAGTTGACAAATTGTACTGATAAGTACAGCCTTACTTATTGTGCTTTATCTCCTGACTGAATTTTCATTGGATGGAGAAGTGGAGGCACCAGAACCAGTGAATTCTGACATAGCACAGAACAGTAAGTCTGTCTTTCTTCCCTCCCTCCACCCTTATCATCTCTCTCTCCTCCATTTTCTCTCTGCCTCACAGACATATTCACATACTTTGGGAAATCTTTATAAAATCCAACTTTGTAGTGTTTACGGTAATATAACTAGCCCTATCTCTTCAGGGCACTACGGTTTTCATGGTGCTGTGTCACACCCTACTGCATGATTTCTTCCTGGGTGAGAGCTGGAGGCTCATGAACCCCTTGAGGTCATGGAGCTGGGGAGCCACACATGAAGTACAAAGGGCTCGTTTTGCAACTCTGAGTTAGGACCCCTTTTCCAGACTGCCTCTTTCCACATGTAAATTTTAAAAATTAACATAATTTATAACTTCAGAGTGCTTTCACTGATTTAATCGATTGTGTTAATATCTTAAGACAACTTTCATAATTCAGAATCAAAACTCACACTTTCAATACACAATTCAACAGCTTTCATATATTCACAGAATTGTGTAGCTGACACCACAATCTAATTTTAGAGCACGTTCATGATTCACAGGAGAAACCCACCCACAGTCCTCTTTTCTTCCTCCTCACAGCTGTGGAAACCACTGTGCTCACTCTTCTACTTTCTGTCCCTGTGGAACTTGTCTATTCTGTAGTTTTTTAAATAAAATTACTAATGCTAAATATTGTATTGTTTCTACATTTTTGCTAATTTTATCCTTTCACCACTCAGCATTCAAGAGAGGTCCATTTTTTAACAAAAGGGTTTTTTAAAATAATATATAGAATATCTATTTTATTATTATTGTATATATAATAATATCTATATTCTACATATATATTATATTAATGTATGCTTTTCACCTCAGTTGAAATCCCCATGGAATTCCCATCACCAAATTCACCCATGTGCCATCACCATAGTCCCTTATGCTCTTCCCACCCTATTTTGATCCTACTCCCCACTCCCCCCCTGCAGAATGTCTCTAGTTTATCATTGTATGTTGATTTTTGTAGAAGAAAATAAGTCTTAAAGAGCTCAGATAACTCACCTGATACTTCACAGCAAGTGGGGAAGCCTGGGTCACTGTACTATAGCTCACGGGGAGCACCATTCATTTGGAGTCAATTCATTATGGAATTGACATCTTTACTGAAGGTTCTTTTTATTTCTAATGGCATTTCAGTTGATTGTCTTAAGTTTCCAGATGGATCACCCTATCAGCAAATAGTGATAAATTTTCTTTTTCCTTTCCAATATTTTTATTTTCTCCCTCTTTGTCCAGTTGTACCATAGTCATTTTTATGCCTATATCCATTATAATATAATGTAAAATTCTGTCCAGTATCAAAATATACTAATTAATAAGTACTTGAAGAATATTCTAAAGTAATGGGATTTTAAATCAGATGTAGACATTATTCCTGTAATACTGCGTTTGCTACATTAGGTGTTGCTGGAATGACTAAGCTGTGTGAAGATTTTCCATGTTATGTGCCTGTGTCTGTTGTTAGTTTGTTGCTAATAATAAAATTCAGTCTAAGATATTTTAATGCTAAGAAATCACTTGAATAAGAATGTCTTTATTCATCGTAAGAACACTTAGCAAACAAACATTTGTTGGTGCTGCTGTTACAGATAGTTGGGAAAATGGATGGAGGTAACCAGACTGAGGTCTCAGAGTTCCTGCTCCTGGGCATCTCAGAGAATCCTGAAGAACAGCAGATCCAATTTTGGATGTTCCTGGTCATGTACCTGGTCACAGTGGTGGGAAATGTGCTCATCATCCTGGCCATCAGCTCTGACCCCCGCCTGCACACTCCCATGTATTTCTTCCTGGCCAACCTCTCCTTCACTGACCTCTGCTTCGTCACCAACACAATCCCCAAGATGCTGGTGAACCTTCAGTCTGAGAACAAAACAATCTCCTATGCAGAGTGCCTGACACAGCTCTACTTCCTGGTCTCCTTGGTGGCCCTGGACAACCTCATCCTGGCCGTGATGGCATATGACCGCTACGTGGCCATCTGCCGTCCCCTCCACTACACCACAGCCATGAGCCCTGGGCTCTGCGTTTTGCTCCTCCTCTCGTGTTGGGTGCTCTCTGTCATCTATGGCCTCATCCACACCCTCCTCATGACAAGGGTGACCTTCTGTGGGTCCCAGAAGATTCATTACATCTTCTGTGAGATGTATGTGCTGTTGAGGATCGCGTGTTCAGACACTCAGGTCAATCACACAGCACTGATTGCCACAGGCTGCTTCATCTTCCTCACCCCCTTAGGGTTCATGATCATGTCCTATGTGCGGATTGTCAGAGCCATCCTCCGCATACCCTCAGCCACTGGGAAGTACAAAGCCTTCTCCACCTGTGCCTCCCATTTGACTGTGGTCGCCCTCTTCTATGGGACACTTGCTATGGTCTATCTTCAGCCCCTCCACTCCTACTCCATGAAGGACTCTGTGGCCACAGTGATGTATGCTGTGGTGACCCCCATGATGAACCCTTTCATCTACAGCCTGAGGAACAAGGACATGCATGGGGCTCTGGCAAGACTCCTTCTAGGGAAAGCCTTCCAGAGGTTGACATGAGGTAATTTTTTAAAAAGGGCATTGAAGTGGAAACTGGGAATTTCCTCCCACCATTATTCTCTGGGCAATACAGGAATGATGAAGACTTAATTCCTGACCAGAGTGAATTCATGTATCTGTGATGAAGACAGGACATCCATGTGTAACTCAGTGTTCCCCAGATCTCACCAACATTGACGATAATAAAGTCACACTAACACTATAATGCAAAAATTTTGTAGGATCAAATCCTCCAACTGACCTGACCAGCGGACCTTAGTGTCCACCATCCCAGTCTTTCAAAACATATCCCATCATAGCTTAGGGAGCTCTCTTGTGTTCTGTAGTACATGATCTTGCATTCCAACATTCCTCAAGGTGTCTATTGCCTGTAAACCACTTGGGCTGCCCTCACTCTTGTGCCCAGAGTGAGGCCAGCCTTTCCTCCAGGCACAGCCCCTGCTGATTCGATTCTGATACGCAGCACCTCTGAGTGTAATTCCTGTGTTCAGGCAAAACTTATAGAAAAGCTCCCCCCTTTGCTCTGAGTCAGCTATCATCTCACATTGCAAAGCAATACTAAATGTACCTTTCTCCTTCTCTCTACTATGGGAAGAACTGTTCCCAGAGCATTCCATCCTGTCCCTTATTACAATGGCTTGTCACACACCTCCCCTGCCCCATCTCTCCTGCTTGCAACCATTCTACTCACTCAAAACAAAACTCTTGAGACTATAACATCAACACATACTCATGAACAGGAGTGTGGGTGAAAGCAGATGAGGCCATCATGAGACCAGTGTCTACTTAGGTTCAACCAACCTTGTCAAATGCAATGGACAGAAAGTGAATAGTAGCTGCTGAGAAGATTCATCACAAGACTGTGGCAATTTGAAAGATGGAGAAATGCTTTACAGATGCATCTGTGGGCCAGTACTGACCAGGACTTTAGAAAACAGGGAGAGTTTAATTGAGCTGAGTGTCAGTTTATTCAGTTGGTAGCAACCAAGTGCCTGTTAGGCATCTCAAACTAGGTTATAAGCATATATCAGAAACTTAACAGTCTACCAGGGAAGACCATTTTAGAGCAGTGTCTTAAGACCAGAAATGAATGTCTTAAGAACATGAAGGAGAAAAGTCTAGGCTGGCATGCTAAGTTTTAGGGGAGGCACGCTGTGGTGGTGACAGCGAGCTGAGACCTCAGGAATGCCTAGGAGTTACCCAGAAACAGCAACTGTCAAGGGAAGGTTACTCCAGAAGGGGAGAGGAAATGGCATTGAGGGGAGTATTTACATTTGCAACTGAAATCCAGGGCTCAGATCCCTAGTGTGTTCTTGGAAGTCACTCTCTGGCCCCCCCAAGTCGTGTTTCCTCACCTGTAAATTGAAAACAATCCCATGATGTGTAACTCAGAGGAAAGCTGTGAGGGCTAAAGGAGCTCATGGACAGGGCCCTCCCTGATGGCGCAGCTGGTTAAAGCTCAGCACTGAGAAGCTAAAGCCACTTCAACATGAGCTGGATCCCTGCCCGCCCCGGAGGTGACCTACATGGTGCAGCAGACCTCTCCTGTATCACTCTCTGCTCCCCTCAGCAGTGTATTTCAGTCTATCTGCCTATTCTGCTCCTTACTCTGTCTCTGGTGAATCCTCTCACCCCTGCACCCCTGGTCTGTACCCCAGTTCTGTATACATAAATAAATAAATCTTTTTTTTTTTTTTAAAAAGAGGGGGGCAGCTCATGGACAAGTCTTCAGCAAAAGACCTGACCTGGCTCATAGTGCAGTTGTTAGTAACCAGGAACAGCTGGACCAAGGCAGTGAAGCAGGAAATACCCTGTTGTGTGATGGGAACACCCCAGGTGAGTGTGATTGGTGAAACAAGCAGTAATAAGTGATGAAGCAGAAGAGGCAGGTGGGAGGGATTTCAAATAACCCCTAGTGCCAGTTTGAGGAGGTTAGACCATATTCTGTCAATAATGAGATGCCATTGCATGTTTGTTTGCTAGGTTTAACAGTTTATTATTTGTTAAGCCAATGAAATGCATTTATTATAGAAATAGTCAAGTAAAAATAAGTCAAACCTCATTACCTGTACAGCAGGTCTTCAGATAACTTCACTTAATTCAATATCCTTTCATCATAACGTTGATGAAGGAAAAAAAAATCAATTCCTTGCTGGGGCCACGGTGTGTGGGCAGTTTGCAAATTCTCCCCATGTCTGCAAGTATTGCTCAGGGTACTCCTCACACCCCAAAGATGTCTGCATGAGGTTCATTGACATGTGTAAATCGTCCCATTCTGAGTGAGTGTGTGTGTGTGTGTGAGAGAGAGAGAGAGACAGACAGACAGACAGACAGAGAGAAAGACCGAGCAAGAGGATGCATCCTGTAATGGAGAAGCTCCACAACCCTAAACTGGAATAAGAAAGTGGGAAGTGAATGAATGAATACAAAGTTTTGTTTAATATTAGAAATGTTTGGGGTTTTATTTGGAAGTTTGGTGGTGGTTTGTGACCAGATTTATATCATAGAAACTTAACTCTTATGTCAGGGGGAAATTCCCAACCTTGATTGCTGCTAAATACAGTTTTGTTTTTTTTTTTAAAGATTTATTTATTTATGCATACAGAACTGGGGTACATGCCAGAGGTGCAGGGGCAATGAGGGGATTCACCAGAGACAGAATGGGGAGCTGAACAGCCCAAATGGCAAGTACACTGATGAGGGGATCAGCAGGCGGGTCAGGAGAGGTCTGCCCGCCATGTGGATCACCTCCGGGGCAGGCGGGAATCGAACTCATGCTGAAGTGGCTTTAGCTTATTAGTGCTGTGCTTTAACCCGCTGTGCCACCACGGAGGGCCCTAAATACAGTTTTTCTGTGTGAATTAAAATTGTTTTGAAAATTGCTCTTTCACTTAATATCTTTCTATGTTAGTAAAATTCAGCTACATTAATACTTAATGCCTACACAGTATTTCAGTCATCAATCTAATGACTATATCATAATTAGTTTCATATACTTCCTATTATTTAATTTTGTTGCTTTCAAATTTTTTCTGTTGATAACCACATGCTAAGAGATATCTTCATAGACACTTCTGTGTGCTTACCTCCAGGGAAGTTGGTGAGGTGGAATTGCTAGACCAGAAGATTTTGCTTTTCAGAGCCTTTAATAAACTTTCTCAAATTGCCCTCCCCCAAATTTATCAGTCTATACTTTCACACAGAAAAGATACACAATTTTTTTTTTGTCCTGACTACTCGTGTCCTAACACTGCATGTTATTATTTTAAAACCTTTTTATTTATCCTGTGGTTATAGTGGTGTTCTATTATTGCTGTAATTTTAATTGCTTTGATGCAGTGAGGTTGAGCTTGAGCTTACTAATTTACATCCTTGATCCTAATTACTATTATTTTTTATCAAGTCATAGCTTTCATTTTTCTAATTAAAACTCGCAATATTTTATATTTTCAAAAGACTAGATGTCTTTGTAAATTCCACAGGGTTCCTTGTGCTCATCGCTCCCTTGTTTTGATTCTGCTTCATCTCCCCACCCCTGAGTACATATCCTTTAGATATAAAGTTATCTGTTGCTTAATGATGGGAATAAATTTGGATAAATATGTCACTGCGAAGTTTATCATTATATTAATGTTAGAGTGTACTTACCCAAACCTACATGGCAAAGTCTACTGCACACCTAGGACAGGTGTAGTGACCACTGTAGAGTGGCCTGTCATTGGCCAAGACATTGACTGGTGTCTCTCCATGTGCTGTACAACTATCTTTCCAGAAGTGAGATTGCTGGATCGTACCGTAGCCCTACTCTAAAATTTTTGAGGAAATGCCATACTATTTCCCACAATGCCTGGACTGATTTATGGTCTCACCAACAGTGTACAGGGGTCTGTTTTCTCCCCATCCTTGTCAGTGCTTGTTACATCTTGCCTTTTGGATAATACTCATCCCGGGAGGTATGAGGAATGTTGCATTGTGGCTTTGGTTTGCATCTCTCAGCTGGTTAGTGATAATGAGGCCCTTCATGCCCCTATGACCATTTGTATATATCCCTCTGGAAAAAAAGGAATCCAATTAAAAATGGGAACAGTACCTATTTATATATTTGCATTTTAATTATTCCATTTTCTTTTATATTTTGGGTGTGAACCCATTACCAGATATAGGGGTTGATAATATTTCCTCTCATTCCATAGGTTGCCTTCTCACTTAGTTTATTGTTTCCTTTGCTCCTTGAGGGAAGATAATTCTCTTTAAACCTGAAGTATCTGGAGACCCAAGTATTTCAGGTCAGAGACATACTTCATCTCTGTTCCTTAGCCAGTATTATCAAGTGTTGCCCCCAAACACAGGGAGGATGATGACCCTAATAGCCCAATGGGCTTGTAAAGGATCAAATCCTCTGTATACTCATGCTCACTTTCTTTCCCCCATTTGTGAGTCTACTTGTTCTCCTCCTAGGATCATCTCCTAACAGAGGAAGAAGAAGAATACTCAGACTCCTTCCATCATTCAGCCTTTGGCAAAACTTGAACTTTTTCTTTTCTTGTTGGAAGGCAAGGTCTAACAATAATATTAAAGGTGCTAGTTATTACATGGCCACACACTAATAGGAAGCAGTAACATTGTATGACTTTCAATCTCATCTCCCACCACTATTGATCCTTCATTTACTTATTCCCATCTTTGACCTCATCAGCATTCCTGAGGCACCTATTTCATCTTCATTTCTAAATTCCCAGTGATGTCCTACCTCCCACTCTCACCTCATTTCTTTTCATCCTTCCAGCTCCTTGACTCCAAGAAGAAGTCACAGAGAAGCCAAGCTCTAGAGTAGAAGGAGAGTAGAGTTACCATGATGGGGAAGTAGTCTCCCCTGGGGGACAGGAAAAAAGAGACAAGTTAGAAGTGAATGAACTGAAAGTTGCATTAGATAGCAAGATGAAGAATTTCTCTAGGCTGGAGCTGTACAGACATTCTTATTAAGTAAAGTAAAACAGAGGCACCACTTCCAGGGACCTCATTTGTGGATATTTTCTGAGCCAGGAGGTTTTAGAAGACAAAAATAAGATTTTGCAGGAGAATGTTATATTGGGCACTCTACAGTGATAACCCTACAGACCCAGGTGGCATATAAATGCATATTCTTTCACAGCTTTATTTTTAAGAATTTTTTTGTTTGTTTTCACATACAGAAGTGGGGTATGGGTGTAGGGGCGGTGAGAGAATTCACCAGAGACAGGGAGAGGAACAGAACAGGCAGATTGACAAAGTACACTGTTGAGAGGAGCAGCAGGTGAGACAGGAGAGGTCTGCTGTACCATGTGGGTCACTTCCCTGGCCAGGGATTGAACTCGTGCTGCAGTGGCTACAACTAGCTTCCCAGTACGGTGCTTTAACCTGTTGCACCACCAAGGAGGGCATAGCCAACACAAGCAACAACTGTCCCAGAGAACTTGCGTGGCAAACTCTAATTTCATATCTCCTGTTTTTCTCTATAGTACTTATCACTACATGATATACTGTATATGATATTTATTTCACTTATTGTGTCTCCATTTGAAAATAAGTTGCATGGGTGCAGAGACTTGTCTATTTTGTTCATGAATGCCCTAAAAATGTGTCTGAATCATGGAAGTAATTCAGTAACTATCAATATAAATGAATGATTCTGTAGAGTTTCTTTGCAGAACAAACATATACAAATCTTCAGGCATCAGGTTCCTGCTTTCATGGGAAATTTTTCTCAACCCAGAAAAGGCAGGAAAGTTGGGGCCCAGTTACTAACCCTGAGGCTGCCTCCCCACAAACACCCGCAACAGGGCACCTTGAATATCTGGATTTCTAAGACTGTAGATAAATGGGTTCAGCATTGGGTTGATAACTGTGTTGAAAACTCCAACCCCTTTATCTTTGTCTGAAGCTTCTTCTGAACCTAGACGCATGTAGTTGAAGATGCCGGTCCCATAGAAGAGGCAAACCACAGTGAGGTGGGAGCCACATGTGGAAAAGGCCTTCTTCCTGCCCTCTGCTGAGCGGATTCGAAGAACTGCAGCTGCCACGTGGGCATAGGAGATGATGATGAGAACCATGGGTGAACCTGCCATTATGAAACCCAGACCAAAGAGCAGCAACTCATTGAATTGGGTGCTGGAGCAGGACAGGGGGAAGAGCTGTGGGAGGTCACAGTAGAAGTGGTTGACTTCATTGGGACCACAGAAGTCCAGGGTAGTTAGTGCAATAGTGTGGGTCAGTGCGTTGGAGAGGGCACAAGCCCAGGACGCAGCCACTAGTAGCCTCTGAATTGTTGGGCTCATGTGGGTGCTGTAGGTGAGGGGCCGGCAGATGGCCAGGAATCGGTCATAGGCCATGGCTGTCAACAGGAAGCAGTCCATCCCAACCAGAAGGTGGAAGAAGAAGAGTTGGGAGAGGCAGGCTCCAAAGGAAATTGAACATTTGTGGGACAGGAGACGACTCAACATTGCAGGAACAGTGACAGTGATACCGCCAATATCCAGCACTGATAGATTCCCCAAAAAGAAGTACATGGGGAGGTGGAGTTTGGGCTCCACCACGATGGCTGCCAGGATACTGAGGTTGCCTCCTACTGTGACTAGATAAGCAAAAAGGAAGATGACAAACACCACAGCCTGAAGCTTTTCTGTTTCCACAAGGCCCAGTAGGATGAACTCAGTCACAGTCGTCCTGTTTGTCTCAATATCTGGATCCATGAGTCCTTTAAGTGCCCTAAAAGGGGAGATATCAACCACTTTATTTATTCATAATTGTCTTAAAACAACCATGTGCTAAGCCCCACAGCAAGTTCTCAGGTGTCAGGTGATGAGTTTTCCAACAGCCAGGTCACACTCTATCACCAACTCCTCCATCACCACAGTGTCTTTGCTCTGTTCTCAGCTGAGATGCCCAAAGCTGCCACCACTTCATCCTGCCCATCTTATCCGAGCTGAAAAGCTCAGGATATTTGGGAAAATATGTCAGAATAATTATGAGCAGACTTCCTTTCCAAGTGTGATTAGGTTCAGCAGGAATGTCCATATTTTACTTGAAGAATCAGCCCAAACCTATCAACAGATTTCAAAGTAGAAAAATTAGTGACATTTCCAAAGAAACTGGAAATCATTTGAAAATATAGCCTAAATTCAAAGCTTCTAAAAACAATAAAGATCCAACAAAGATACGGCAAGAATCAGGGAGAAGATTCCCATCATTGTGTCTGTCAGCCAGCCAACTATATTTTTTCAAGGTGAGAGACACACTCTAAACTATAAATTAAAAACTCATTGGTCAATACATTGATAGTTTTCATTTTGCTATTTGAACCCTTATGCTGGACTTTAAACTTTAAAATACAGCATAATTTAAAGTTTTCTATCTATAGTGTCTCCTACCACCCTCTGAAAAAAAAAATTGTAAGCATGACATGTGGATTGGCTGCTGGTAGGAGCCGTTAGTTTAATACATTGACAGTCACTGGTCAGTCATGGTAGATTGACCAGTAGTTCTGAGGAGATGTCCTTGAAGGAAGCAGGCAAACACATTGAGCTAATTCTCCTGATCTTATAATAAGCTCCTGATCAAAAAATTATAAATGTCTCTGTACTGCCCATATAAGCAGAATTAGAGTGTCACGAAAAAGCATGTTATTCTCTTGCATAGAATACCCTGAGTCAAGGATGGGAAGTAGTCTTGAGTCTGAAAACACTGAAAAAATGGGAAAAGTGATGAGGATCTGAACCAGGTGTGATGAGATTTAGGGCAGGAGTTAAGTAGACCCCAGGAATCAGAGATACTATAACAGTATGCCTGAAGTGATGTCTAGGAATGTAGTCACTAAAAAAGGGCTAAATCCTTTGTTTGCAAAAGTGAAAATTGAGTGCATAATTTGTTGGAAGGATGTCTCTGTCTCAGCTTGACCCAAACAGACAGACATAACTGAATGAGAAGTTACCCAGAGAAGCTAGACAACATGATTTTAAAACTCTACATTAACAGGGAAAAAAAAATAAGCACACAGGTAAAATCTTGTGGCATGATGTTAAACAGGGGAAGGAGAAGACTAAACTCTCTTTTCTAAAAGTTGATCTGCATATGGTAACATGCATTGCCAAGATGTTATAGTGGCTGTCATAGAGTCATAGTAATCTAGTGGGCCTTCTTTTTTTCTGTGTGTTCTTTAAATTTACAAATTATTGTATTATTTTATAATAATCAATGTGCTGCTTATGAATGGCTGAACTATTCCCACTCTCTCCAGGGCTATCTTCTTGTAAATCTCAGAGCCTTTGGCATTGGGTGGGTCCTGGGTGTTGTCAGACCTGCCCCGATCACTGTTATTTTCAACCATACTCCATTTCTTGTCACTGGCTGTCCTGTGGCCAGTCAGGAAGAGCTTTTCTTCTGATAATCTGAGATGATGGAGGTCTTTTCTTCAGTCACTGAGGATATAATCTAGCTCTAGTGTGCCTCGGATCCCACTGCTGCCACAAAGTAGCAAAGAATGATTGATGGGTCTTAGGTCATTAAAGCCCCAAAGCCATTTCTCAGACACTAACTTCCCTTCTTTTCCAGCACTAAGAAATGACCCAGACAATAATCCCTCCCCGGTGCTGTATTACAATTTATGACAGTTAAATCTCAACATTGCCCACATATTAGAATTATATAGAAGTTCCCAACATCCAGACCCAGCCCAGAACAGTTAAGTCAGAATTCTTAGGGTAGGACCCAGTCATCAATATTTTTTAGAGCTCCCACATAGTCTCCTCTGTTTTCAAATTCCACTGAAAGAGCCCTTCCAACTACCGACGTATTCTCTCATATTTAAGACATAGACTTTTCTCATTTTACTCTTACTGGTAATTGTAAAGGCAATTTAAGAGGCAGATTACAGGGATAGGAAGAGCACAAGGGACTATGGTGATGGGCCAAGGGTGACTGGTGGTGGGAATTTTATGGGTACTATACCTGAGAGCAGAACGTTGCACAAAAATGAACAATGGTGTAAAGGATAGATAGATAGATAGATAGATAGATAGATAGATAGATAGATAGATAGATAGATAGATAGATAGATAGATAGATAGATAAATGGATAGATGGATGGATAAATAGATAAGTGAATCATTTAATAACTAAAAGCAACAGATTAAAAGGTGATACACACAAAAGTGAGGAGGGGGACACAAAATTTAAGATATCTTACCAAGGTTTGGTGGCTCAAATTTTCAACTAAACTCTTGTAAGACTCGACTATTGGAATCATCTGGAAAACTTTAGCAGCCAATAATCAGAATTCACCAACCATTCTGATTCACCTGGTTTAGTTGGCAGTGTCTGGGTATGCATGTGCTATTAAAATTGCCCAGGTTGATCCAACATCCAGCCAGGAGAGAGAATTACTAACGTGAGAGGTTGGATAATGACTACTCCTCATTCCTCATTGCTTTTATCCTTACACCAGGTCTTCGAGCTTTATAGACCTCCTCTTCCACGAGACTCCTCCACTCAGGCCGTGGTCAAGCAGGAAATACAGACTGACCCACAATTTCAAGTGAGTAACATGCATTTCAGTGTAGTCTTTATTACAGAAAGGTGTTTCCAATTTGAGTTATTTCAAATGATGTCTGCTTTGTGTGTGTTCATGTCACTAGTTAGGAGCAGAGGGGATACCACATAAATAAAAAGTTAGATTTGATGATCTTCAAATGTCCTTAAAATTCTGAAATTGCATGAATAGTAATGATCTGGAGACCATAATTATCAGGTTTAATGGTCATTGATGATAAATGCTTTGTAAATTGGATGGATCACAATTTATATTGAAAGACAATTACCATTTTCCCTTTGGGGTACACTTTAACACAAGTTTTGGATTTGTAGCCCTGTGATTTTCTACCTCCTTGCTCATGCTGTTTTCCTGCAATAATTTCTTTCCAAAGGAAGGGCATCCCATATGCCCAAGTATTTCAAGACTTGACTCATATGCCGGTTGCTAAATTAATGCTTCCTAGAAACTTCCCTATCTCTAAAGGCACTGGCACACTCTCCCCACTTCTGTTACCACCATCCCTCCTAAACTCCCACATGTTTTTTCATGGAACTCATTACTGTTTCATTTCTAGCTAAATCATTTCTCTATAGAGCATATCTACTCTCCTTTTCTATACGCAGCTTGAGGACAAATACAAATTCAGTTTTCCAATACGAATACTTCTAATACTTTTCACATACTGGGCACTTGTTATTTCTTAAATAAACAAATAACTGGTTCATATTTCCATAATATTTTAGGAAAAGAGAGTATGTGTATGATCTAGAGTTGACTTAGAAGCCTTTCTGAACTATTAGAAGTTAGGCTCAGCTTTTATGGATTAGTATGAGTTAGGGCAGTTGTAGGGACAAGTGCAAGGATAATATTGCTACTTTCCTTGGTTTTGATGGGATGAGGATGCTATAGAAATACACAAATTAACATGTTTCTTTTCATGTAAACCATGTCGAAGAATAAAGTACTGAGGAGGGTAATAGCTTACAGATGAGTAAGTTACAGGCAACGGTAGCAGAGCAACAAAACTTTGCTAAACATGGCCAGATATTCCACTTACTTGAAATAATGGTACTCTGGGACGATCTCTGATCATGCAGACATCCCCAAGTGTGTGGCAGGGTCATCATGACAACTGTCACAGAGAAGCCCACCTGGATTAATGTTCTTGGAGCTTTGAAATAAGCCCCAGGTTCTCCTTCCTGAACTATTACAGCTCCCTGCTCTGGCACACCAGCCAGTCCTCC